GCCCACAGACTCCGAATCGGACGAACAGCCGGACATCTTGTCCGCGTTCCCCCGAGCGGGTGCCTTAAAACTAATTCTAAATCTAATTTAATTTTTTTTTTTGACTCTTACCCCTGGAGGCGCACACTAATCGGCGGTGTACCCACCGACGACGCTCGCCTTGACAACGGTGTAGATAGGGACAGTGGGAGTCTCGTCGATCTATTCGCGCGCGTATCTTTCCAGACGGCGGAACGGTCGCGCGCCTTCGCGAGTACATGGTCGACGGTGCCGCGATGTCGCGCTCCGTTGCCGTCCACCTTTTTTTTTTTATAAATAAAGAAATATATCTACTCCTTTAAGCCGAAGCTTGTGATGGAGTAGAGAGTTAACTATAGTAATATTAATTGATATAAGTAAAATAAAACAAAAATAAATATAAATCTAATCCATCATGTACATTAAACAAAATTAGATAAATACGACTGGTTAGTTATACATTTGTACAGAATAAATAATGTAAAATGAATAATATGACTTGTTTTACAGTTGAGTAAGCAAAATATAATATTTAAGGAGGAAATACAATAACAATTATATAATGTGGTAATTAAATACCTACGGTCCCGGGGAACTTTTACGTCGGTTTCGCTACGTTTAGAAGAACGGACGCATAAAAAAAAGAAATGTGCGTAGCGGCACCGTCAAATATCTGTCAAGTCCCCGGGGAAAAGCTCGTCTCGAGCGAATCTTGATTCGCAAAACCCCCATAATATTAAATCCAGAAATTATGTAAACCTAACCTAACTCATAAACCGCGTACGCCGAGGATCGATGCCAGTCCTTTGTGACTAAACCCCGGCGATAATAATAGTTTTCGAACCTATCCGCCGTCGAAAAACTCCGAAATGTCCGTACATCGTTAACCGAAACGACTGCTGCGGCCGGTACAAATACTACCGCCGTATGTCTACGTTTACGACCGTTGAAAACAATCATCTACTACGCGCCAGCCCGGCGATTGGCGCTACGCACCGGGAGAAGGGGAATTCAAGGAGGTGAAGAGGAGGAGAAGGAGGAGGAAGCGTGAGAAGGCCCCAGAGACCCCGAACTCCCCCCCCAAACAGGTATGAAGGACCCAAGCTGGAGGAAGAAGCTCGACGCGATGAAAGCTAAGACTACGGTCAAGGCTTTCGTCGTAAAAGTAGGTGAGGGTGACGTAGAGGAGGAAAAGAAGAGCCGACCTCCTGAATGGTCTCCCAGCGTCAAAAATCTCAAACACGGTGACCTTCTCACGGGGGGACATCCTCGTGAAACTGGCGGACGAGGGTACCTTCAAGGCCCTGAAGAAGATGGAGGATGAGAGCAAGGCAGTGAGAGAGGAGTCGGCCAGAAGGCCGATGATCCTGGTCTATGACGTCGGTCGAGAGATCAGAAAAGATTGGCTAGGGAAACTGCTGGCGGAACAAAATCCGGAGTTAGGTTTTGGTGAGGAGACCGTGTACCCCCTCTTCATGAAGAGACCAAAGACGGGAGATTCTGTCTGGTGGTCAGTGCGGTCACGCCAGGCGCGTACCAAAAGGTTGTAGGGAGACGCTATGTGTTCTTACTGGATTCCGATTATCGAGGGCGCAGCTCCCGTTAACCGGATCCAGGACCCGCCCGCACGCGTCCCTGCCCAATACGACATTCTATCCCCTATCTCGCCTGAGGAAGTGCTGACATGCCTTCCCAGCGCTGACACTTCGCCTGGTCCGGATGGGTTCCCGGTCAGGTTGTGGAGACGTATCCCCATACCTCTGTTAGCCGGCCTATTCAACCTGATTAACGCCAGCGGGGAGCTGCCACATGAACTTTCGGCTTCCCGCACTATCTTCGTGCCGAAGAAGGGTGACCCCTCGTGTCCGGAAAACTACCGCCCGATTTCGATCGCTTCGGTGGCGCTCCGGCACTACCATAGAATTCTGGCTCGCCGTCTGGAGAGTCTTTCGATTGTTGACACAAGGCAGCGCGCGTTCCGACGTGCGGATGGAGTTGCGGAAAATATCTTCCTGCTTCATTCGTTGCTTCGGGACGCCCGCTCGTCTTGCAAGGGTCTCTGTCTCGCGTCTCTCGACTTGTCGAAGGCGTTTGATTCAGTTGCCCACGAGTCGATCTACGCCGCGCTGCGTGGCGCGGGCTTATGCCCGCGCTTCGTCGATTACCTGCGCGGGCTGTATCTGCAATCGGGGACCTTCATTCAGGCGGGGGGGCAGTGCTCACGGGCCCTGTCGGTATTGAAAGGCGTGCGTCAGGGCGACCCATTGTCGCCGCTATTATTTAACGTGGTAGTAGACCAAGCGCTACGAGCATTACCACACGCCGTTGGCTACGCGCTCGGGTCCGAGCAAGTGAGTGCCCTCGCGTTCGCGGACGATGTAATCCTGGTGGCTTCCACACCGTTAGGATTGCAGCGCTCGTGCGAGGCGTTCACGGACCGGGTGGCTGTAGATGGCTTGAGGCTGAACCCGGCGAAAAGCGCAACGCTGACCCAAATACCGTCTGGCCGCGATCATAAGTTGAAGGTGGTGGATACGGTGTACGTCCTCAACGGCGAACCCGTCCCCGCTCTCTCTGTGTCGTCGCTTTGGCGCTATCTTGGTGTCGGCTTTGCGGGCGGTCGCCTGGAAGAGTATGATTGCGCGTCGTACGCCTCGGCAATCGGTCGGCTTTCAGCCGCGCCGATGAAGCCGCAGATGCGGCTGGCCATATTACGTGATCACCTCATTCCGATGTTCGTTCACGGACTGACGTTTGGGGCGGTCTCGGCCGGCAAGCTGCGTACACTGTCACACGAAACAAGACGCGCTGCTCGTTCCTGGCTAGACCTGCCAATTTCGTGCCCCAACGCGTACATTCACTCGCCAACATCGGCGGGTGGCCTGGGAATTCCCAGTCTCGAGCACATAATTCCGAAATCTCGCCTAAAAAGGTATGTAAGGCTTGAGCAGTCGTCCGTCCCGGCTGTCCGCGAAGCGTTCCGACTCCACGGGTCGAAAGCGTTAGCGGCGTCGCGGCGGGCGGTTGAAAAGATGCAGCTCAAGCAGTCCTTTCAGACCAGCCTGCATTCTTCGGTCGATGGTTGTGAGCTAAGGATGTGCCCCGATGAGCCCGCTTCTGTTGCGTTCCTGCGAAACCATACCGGTATCCCCGGTAAGGATTTCAAAAGGTACGCGCAGCTCCGGATCAACGGGTTACCATCACGGAAGCGCGTGAACCGAGGCCGTCGCGGTCCGACTAACTGTCGGGCCTGCGGCGCTCCCTCGGAAACACTTGCACACATAGTGCAGTCCTGCCATCGGACGAATGAGGGGCGTATACTCCGGCACGATTGCCTAGTTAAGAAGGTCGTTGCCGGCCTGAGCGAGAAGGGATACAAGGTCGAGACCGAATTCCATTACAGGTTGCAAGGCGGGAACCTAAGGCGGGAACCTAAGGAACCTAACCCAGATATCGTTGCCACTGGGTGTGACGATAATAGAGGTCGGTTCTCCGTCATTTGCGATGTGCAAGTTGTGTCCGCCAACAACACATTAGGATGGCACCAAAATAAGATCCGCAAGTATGCGGACCGCCCGGATCTTTTGAGCGCGATCCGGGCCCGACACCACTCGACCAATGTGCAAACGGTCGCCCTGACCATTAATTGGCGGGGAGTATGGCTCGCAGCCAATATGGCTCGAAATTCAAGCAAGCGCGGGTAAACGGCAGGAGTAACTATGACTCTTTGGTTGAACGCCGATGATCGTTGGTGCCGGGCTATTCCAGTTCTCTGGTTGTACACCTTGGTGCCTTCGTGATGGCTATTCCAAGAGCCCAGCGTGTCGGTGGGGTTGTCGGAAGGTTCTGTCAGAATCCGACTCCCCCACACACCCCTGTATCGCGCTTGGGCTCAAAGGCGGTCAGAAGGTTCTGTTAGAATCTGACCCCTTTCACATCCGAGAGGCTCGCATGGAGCGTCCGCGGCGCCTTCGGGCGAACGGCTTCGGTGCGTGTTGTCGTATTGTGTGTCATATGTTACCCGAGAGTCCCCGTGGCGGCCTAGCGCCGTCCCGGGGTCTCTACGGCAAAATCGATCCTCACTTCCGGGCAAACTGAGACGTGGAACTCTCAGCCCAAGTGCCTGCCGGGAACTTCACTCGGAATTAGTGATGCTAACGAGGCTCTCGTGCACTTCTACCTATCAGGGGACTCTTGGCCGGGTCTTCTGATCAAGGTGGTCGTGGTGACTTAAAGTAATGCGGTCGTTGGTCGGACCGTCAGGATGCCACGATACCCTGGCGGTTGTCCTTCGTGCCCCGATGCGCTCGCGTGTCGTCCGGCGGACTAGGTAACCCCCGACGGCTTGGTACTATGAAAGCGTCTCGGGAGCCCCTTTTTGGGCACAGGGCCTATATATAACAGGTGCTAAGGTCTCAATTTGAGTGCGATGTCTGGCGGCACACCGGGTGGCTTAACATGGTAGGCGTCCACGGTGCCTCGGCATATGTCAGCGGTGCTTAGGCTGTCGAAGTGCATAATAGCATCGCCTGTTACCTGGGCCTGTCGGCCGGCTCGCGCCGCGTCGGGCTGGCTTTTCGCCCCCGTTATCTGGCGTCAACTACCGTGTGGGCACACGTATCACGCCCCTCGGTAGGAAACCTGCGAAGTGGCGGGTACCCCCCCGCCGAGTCCTAGGTCGGCCAAGTGCAGCAGGGCTGGACTTAGTCCAGTACAGGCCAGGACGTTCCTTGGGTCCGCGGCGTCGCCATACGTCTCGGGCCTACTTTATCCAACAACAAAATGAATAATTTAAAGATTAAGCCTCGGATAGACCGGCAATCCCAAACAGCGGTGCCGGTCGAAATTGTTGGAGCGGACCAGGGTGAGACGGTTGATCCGACTCTGGCTCCCTTTGCGTGTATCGTGTGCGGTGTTGAATTTAGTACCAAAACAGGTGTCGGTGTCCATCTTAATAAAGCTCATGGTGTTGTGGCGAACAGCCGAATAAACGTCGAACGTAAAAAGGTTCGATGGACTGATGAGGAGAAGCGCCTGGTGGCGCACATCGAGGCGGAGGCGCAGTTTAGCGGCATTCCTCCTTTGGGCATAAATGCATATTTAATCAAACACCATCCGGTTCGCACCGGCGAGTCCCTCAAGGCCCGCCGTAGGTGCGCGGAGCATCGCCAACTTGTTGGTCGAGCGCTTCGCGCCCTCGAACGCGGCCGGATGAGTCCTATAATCGACCAGATCGATAATGACCCTGAGGTTGTCGTTGAAATGCCCGCGCCGTCTTTCGATGTCGCTGACGACGAGAATGGTACCTCTGCCAGTGTCCGCGCGAGTACTGACCGCGAAAGCACCGCTAAAGAAGCGGCTGCTTGCGCCGTTGCCTTGCTAGCGACGGTGACCGGACACGGAGTTCAAAAACTCCTTAAGGCGGCGCAGGACCTAGTCGACCAGGAAAAGAGCCCCTCTCTCGCGATAGCCAGTTGGTATCGCGAGTACGGCAAGTGCGGTTTTGAAGGTTTGTCCGCGAGTGGTTCGGGTAACATGATACCACCGAACCACGGGAAAGGTGCGAGGCACCGGCCCGGCGCTAAAATTACTCATAAGTATAAGGGTAATAGAAAAACCTATAAGACAAAAGCGTTGAAAGCCGCAGAGTATAGGAGGAACGTCAAAGAATGGAGGTTAAGGAGGAAGATTGTCGTGGACCGTGTACTATCAGGGGTCGATTCAAAGGTCGTAAAACCAGCGTTCCGCGCTATGTGTTCATACTGGATCCCGATTATCGAGGGCGCTGCTCCCGTTAACCGGATCCAGGACCCGCCCGCACGCGTCCCTGCCCAATACGACATTCTATCCCCTATCTCGCCTGAGGAAGTGCTGACATGCCTTCCCAGCGCGCACACTTCGCCTGGTCCGGATGGGTTCCCGGTCAGGTTGTGGAGACGTATCCCCATACCTCTGTTAGCCGGCCTATTCAACCTGATAAACGCCAGCGGGGAGCTGCCACATGAACTTTCGGCTTCCCGCACTATCTTCGTGCCGAAGAAGGGTGACCCCTCGTGTCCGGAAAACTACCGCCCGATTTCGATCGCTTCGGTGGCGCTCCGGCACTACCATAGAATTTTGGCTCGCCGGCTGGAGAGTCTTTCGATTGTCGACACAAGGCAGCGCGCGTTCCGACGTGCGGATGGAGTTGCGGAAAATATCTTCCTGCTTCATTCGTTGCTTCGGGACGCCCGCTCGTCTTGCAAGGGTCTCTGTCTCGCGTCTCTCGACTTGTCGAAGGCGTTTGATTCAGTTGCCCACGAGTCGATCTACGCCGCGCTGCGTGGCGCGGGCTTATGCCCGCGCTTCGTCGATTACCTGCGCGGGCTGTATCTGCAATCGGGGACCTTCATTCAGGCGGGGGGGCAGTGCTCACGGGCCCTGTCGGTATTGAAAGGCGTGCGTCAGGGCGACCCATTGTCGCCGCTATTATTTAACGTGGTAGTAGACCAAGCGCTACGAGCATTACCACACGCCGTTGGCTACGCGCTCGGGTCCGAGCAAGTGAGTGCCCTCGCGTTCGCGGACGATGTAATCCTGGTGGCTTCCACACCGTTAGGATTGCAGCGCTCGTGCGAGGCGTTCACGGACCGGGTGGCTGTAGATGGCTTGAGGCTGAACCCGGCGAAAAGCGCAACGCTGACCCAAATACCGTCTGGCCGCGATCATAAGTTGAAGGTGGTGGATACGGTGTACGTCCTCAACGGCGAACCCGTCCCCGCTCTCTCTGTGTCGTCGCTTTGGCGCTATCTTGGTGTCGGCTTTGCGGGCGGTCGCCTGGAAGAGTATGATTGCGCGTCGTACGCCTCGGCAATCGGTCGGCTTTCAGCCGCGCCGATGAAGCCGCAGATGCGGCTGGCCATATTACGTGATCACCTCATTCCGATGTTCGTTCACGGACTGACGTTTGGGGCGGTCTCGGCCGGCAAGCTGCGTACACTGTCACACGAAACAAGACGCGCTGCTCGTTCCTGGCTAGACCTGCCAATTTCGTGCCCCAACGCGTACATTCACTCGCCAACATCGGCGGGTGGCCTGGGAATTCCCAGTCTCGAGCACATAATTCCGAAATCTCGCCTAAAAAGGTATGTAAGGCTTGAGCAGTCGTCCGTCCCGGCTGTCCGCGAAGCGTTCCGACTCCACGGGTCGAAAGCGTTAGCGGCGTCGCGGCGGGCGGTTGAAAAGATGCAGCTCAAGCAGTCCTTTCAGACCAGCCTGCATTCTTCGGTCGATGGTTGTGAGCTAAAGATGTGCCCCGATGAGCCCGCTTCTGTTGCGTTCCTGCGAAACCATACCGGTATCCCCGGTAAGGATTTCAAAAGGTACGCGCAGCTCCGGATCAACGGGTTACCATCACGGAAGCGCGTGAACCGAGGCCGTCGCGGTCCGACAAACTGTCGGGCTTGCGGCGCTCCCTCGGAAACGCTTGCACACATAGTGCAGTCCTGCCATCGGACGAATGAGGGGCGTATACTCCGGCACGATTGCCTAGTTAANGCCACTGGGTGTGACGATAATAGAGGTCGGTTCTCCGTCATTTGCGATGTGCAAGTTGTGTCCGCCAACAACACATTAGGATGGCATCAGAATAAAGTCCGTAAGTACGCGGACCGCCCGGATCTTTTGAGCGCGATCCGGGCCCGACACCACTCGACCAACGTGCAAACGGTCGCCCTGACCATTAATTGGCGGGGAGTATGGCTCGCAGAAAGCAGCCAAAGCCTCAAGGCTCTTGGACTAAGTTCGGGATTCCTCGCGGGACTCACTACACGGGTCTTGCAGGGGTCCGTGTCCAATTGGTACACCTTTAATACACGCACGGACACGTACAGGCGGGTCGGCGTCGGTTGATACGACTTCGCCCCCGCACAACTGCGAGGCCTCCCCGACCTCGCGTCTTTCCCTCTTTCCTTTCTTCAAACCTTCTTATCTTCCCTTCTTTCCGGGTAGGCTTTTCTATGATGAAGTCTCCCCGTAGAGGATACCTCTCTGCAACTCTTCGGCATCTCTCGGGGTAAGACTCCTCGTTCCGCTTCGGCGGGGCTTGGTCTCTGAGAACTAGCAAAATGCCTCGTCATCTAATTAGTGACGCGCATGAATGGATTAACGAGATTCTCACTGTCCCTATCTACTG